GGGTGGCGACGGTCGTATGATATGTGAAATGAACGAAAAAAGGTAACAAAGATGGTGCTCCGGCGCCTTGAAAATCAAGGGTCGTATGATATATTGATGAATGAATTTTCCTACAAAACTGCCACTACTCCTAAGAAAGCAAGTAAAAGTATTGAAAATGCGTTACAAGGTAAATGACAGGAAAATATAATCCGCTCCGTGGGAGGCTTGTGTTTAGTGTTGAACCCTTCAAATGTAGTTGGAGCCTGGTATTTATAGGGAAGGTCCTGAGGGGACAATGAGGCTGAAAATCTGCAAGGTGCGGTTGATCAGAGCTAGTGGGTAGTCGAATCGACATTTGGGAATGTGAAGCATGGTGGTGTGACCCTCATAAACCCCGGCCGCCGCCCTAATGGTGAGCTCTGCGTCTCGGGCCTTGGAGGAGCATTTAATGCCCTGGTCTGATGGTTGGTGGCTTAACCTTACAAAGTCAAGGGATTTTCGCACATAATCCCTGTTTTTTCTCGCCATATTTGACTTCAATCACGTCCCCTCTTTCTCGGCTCACTAAATGCTCCTACGTCGATTATGGGCTTTTTGCTGTGGTTAGAGGCACTACTTCATTAAATGAAGCGTGGGACCATGATGCTACGTGGCGATGCCACTTAACTTTTCCTATCTTGGCCGGGTATTTGAGGAGTTTGTCCTCGGCCAGTATTACCGAGGCTGTGATGACTTGGCTTTATAAGCTCTCCTTTGTTTTTAACAAGAGGAGGCAAACGATGACTTGTAACGCTCGGCCATGGGTAGGCGCTGGGGCCGAGAAGAGGTTCCTTTGGTCAGCTTCCTTGGCCGAGATTTATTAGGCACAAATAACTCTGGATAGAAAAAATTGCATAGAAACAAGAGGGAGAGAGAGAGAGAGAGAGAGAGAGAGAGAGAGGCTGAGAGTAGAGAGAAGAGGGAGGGGGAGGGGAACGGAGGGGGACGATGGACAAACGGAAGGGAAGGAAGGGAAATGGGTTCAAAAGGGTAGGAGGAGGAGAGTTGCAGTGAGGAGGAGGGGGAGAATTTCAGGTTTTCTTTTCTTTTTCTAATTTTTTATATATTTTAAATGTTAAACTATTTTTAAAAAATAAATTTTTTTATTTAGATCCACTTTATCTCATTGGATATGTGGAAAAGAGGAACATGAAAAAAAAGGTTAAAAAAGAAGTGCAAAGAGGCGATTCATGACTCCAGCATAAAAAAACAAAGCATTAATCCCGGAGATGTGGATGATTGAGACAGCTCTAAGATCTTGTTCGTAGTTTCCCTAGACTGATACGGACTCGCTTCGCTCGGACAGCCAACCCGCCCGACTTGTTTGTCTACCTTTCTTTCCTTCTTTTGAAGTACCATTCGGCTCCTTTCAAGGGGAGCCTCACTTTCCATTCTGTCAAAACAATTTAATAGAAATTTTGACGGAATCTAATAGCAGAGACCAAATTGATGTGTGAAGTGTAACATAAAGGACCAATAATGTCAAAAAATACATAAAGGTTGGTTGGGTTGGGTTGGGATGGGATGGGAAAGTTGACTATCCCTATGCAAAAATCATTTTTGTATTTACTGTTGGTTTCGTATAAGATCTATGTTAGATGGCCTTGGTTGATTGAAACAGTACTAGATGATTCATCACCAAAAGAAATACTAAAAGATCCATCAATAAAAAATATATATATATATACTAGACAGATCCTTTTGACGGAACTTGAGGTTCCAGCCTCAAAACTAATGGGTGGCGTGACCCAACTCCTTGTAAGTAACTTTTCAATGCGAGACAATTCTTCACATCCTCACACCTTTGGAGCTTGAGACAGCCTAGAACTGACAAAGATTCCAAACGAGCCTGACCATGCCTGATATGCAATGCAATTATGCATATTATTCTTCAATGTTTGGAATTTCAGATTGTCAATGCAAACCAATTTTCCAATATCGCACACCTTAAAATACAGAGAGGTTATTTATTTAATTGACATAAATTGTTGGTTGATTCTTCAACGGCCCAAGTTTTTGGGGTTCAATGTCGTCTAACATAATACCAAAGCACTGATTGTAGGAGGTTTTGAATGAGTTCGAAACCTCCAGTCCTCATTTTCTCTTTATATTTCTCTTTGTACAACCTTTACACGTGCAGGCAGTGGCAGAGCCAGGATACGTGCAGGCAGTGGCAGAGCCAGGATTGTATGTGTGGGGGGGCCAAACCGTAATACAAGTATAGAAAAAAAAAATCAATCTTACATCAATAATATATAAATAAATAAATAAATAAATATATAAGAAAAAATGGACATTTTTTAGAACTATGTACTCAATTTCATGTATCAAATGGAAAAGTCTACTGATAAAATCGCATTTCCCTTTAAACTATTTATTTTCTATTCCCTTTTTGTTTTGTCAAACTATTTTCTATTCCCTTGGCTCATCGGTTTGATTATTAGAGGATTAATACTTCCTTTTTTTTTTATGTCAGTTGTGTAATGGTCCCACAAACATTTTACATATAATTATAAATGAAGTTATTATGGATTGCAATTGGGGGGCATTAGAATGATTATATGGTTTGCATTGTTAAATATATGAACTAAAACCCAAGCTTTACTGTGTTAAGAACAAATTGTGGAGGGGCCAGAGGGCCACCTCAAGCCCTAGAGTACCTCCGCCCCTGTGTGCAGGATTTTGGACTGCACGGTGTTAAGTTGACATATATTGTTGTCTCATTCTCAAACAACTTAGGGCTGGTTTGGTATTCAACTTGAATCCAACTTTTTAAACTCAAAAACAGAATTTGAGTTCAAAACAAAGAAAACCTGTTAGGTAGCCCTATTTTTAAAATCTCAAACTCAAGAACAACTAAAAAAACACCCCAATTATTAAAAACAAAAAATATTTGTTTTTTCAGTTTTTTTCTAACAACCCACAAGTTCTCAAAATTTTAAGATTTGAAAACAGTTTTCAAGTTGCATACCAAACAAGTTTGTGAATCTTAAAAATGGATTTAAGAACTTCTTGTTTTTAAGAAAAATTAAAGTTTTTGAGTTCCCTATTTGAATAGGATACCAAACGCCCCCTTAAGTTTTAAGTTTTGGTATAGAGTTCAAGTGCCTAGTGCATACCTTTCCTTTATCATGTGAAAATCTTTATTTCCGTCAGTAGATGAGGCACTAATAATGGCAGTATAAAATTCATGACGGCCAATAGTTCCTTTCTGGCAAACCATCTCTCAGTGAAAAAACACTTCGACAATAGGAACATCCTTAAAAATTTATACTAGACAAAGCATTCTTGTTTTATTTTCATCTGAAGGTGACATATTAAAACATTATATCTTCTTGTTGTTGATGCCGTTCATGACACAGCAAAACAAAAACAAGTAGTCAATTCTAAGTGACATACACGACACCACTCGCATATACGGTTTAAACTTTGCAATAGAATACTTTATTTTGATTGGTGGGATCTTAACGACGATTATAATATCGTATGTGCTGTATGCTAATTTGTCATTGCAAATGAGTTGTGCCTTGCATGGAGGGGTGTTATCAACTCCAATTTTAATAATGGCCAAAAGAGGGGCAGGGTGTTGAGACTATCCCACGTTGAATGATGGACGCTTAACATATGAATCATTCTTTTAAGTGATATGGGAGCATGCGGGGCCGTTAGGTCTACCACATGGATCACATAATTGTGATATCATGCTAGAATGTGAGCATTCAACTTAAAACCAATTACAACGGACGAGAGAGGCACAAAAATCATTTTGGTTACATTGGAGTTTGAACGAGTTCGAACTGGGGTGCCCTTTGGGGGGATGTGGTGGTGGGAACCCATTGTCAGGCACAAAAATCTTTTAAGCACTCCCAACAGGGGAACCCCTCCAACCCTAACTTTCCATGATTTTGAGAGTATTCCCAAAATCTTTTAATCACTCTAGACAGGGGAGCCTCTCCAACTCTAACTTTTCATGATTCTGTATTTCTGACAGTAGTCTAAAAACAAAAAGCAAGTGCAAATAAAAATTTGAATAATTTTAAACTGCCATTTGTAATGACATATCCAATCTTTCCTGCAATGAGAAATGAGACATAGAAACTATAGAATAGAAGTGTGTGCACGAAAATAACTATGCCTGAGGAGGGTCTGGACTAACTATACGCTTAGATATATTAAGTAGACAAGGTGCATGCCTATTCTTGTGCATAATTCAATAAAATTTTGACCCTCAGCATAATTGAGAGAATCCATATTATAAAATTATTCCGCCTTTGCCGTTATGTTGATAGAGTGTATAATATATTGAACTTAAGCATATATATAGTTATATTTTGATTGCTATTTTTTAAACCAAGTTGGCAAAGAAACTGATTAAGCTTTTTTCAGTGTCAGAATGTAATTTTGTCATTCTGCAAATATCACTAGGATAGTATGGTTGGGAAATTCCTATATATATCACCCACAAATCAAGCATATCCCACACAAGAACACAAGTGGTAGTAAAAGAGAGAGAGAGAGAGAGAGAGAGAGAGAGAGAGAGAGAGAGAGAGAGAGAGAGAGAGAGAGAGAGAGAGAGAGAGAGAGAGAGAGAGAGAGAGAGAGAGAGAGAGAGAGAGAGAGAGAGAGAGAGAGAGAGAGAGAGAGAGAGAGAGAGAGAGAGAGAGAGAGAGAGAGAGAGAGAGAGAGAGAGAGAGAGAGAGAGAGAGAGAGAGAGAGAGAGAGAGAGAGAGAGAGAGAGAGAGAGAGAGAGAGAGAGAGAGAGAGAGAGAGAGAGAGAGAGAGAGAGAGAGAGAGAGAGAGAGAGAGAGAGAGAGAGAGAGAGAGAGAGAGAGAGAGAGAGAGAGAGAGAGAGAGAGAGAGAGAGAGAGAGAGAGAGAGAGAGAGAGAGAGAGAGAGAGAGAGAGAGAGAGAGAGAGAGAGAGAGAGAGAGAGAGAGAGAGAGAGAGAGAGAGAGAGAGAGAGAGAGAGAGAGAGAGAAGATGAAGAGCTCAGCAATTTTCTCAAGAGGATCCATTGCCCTACTTGTCATTCTCCTTTCAACAATATGTTTGGTGACTGAAGCTCAGCAATGTCGTCCAAGTGGTAAGATTAGAGGAAGGAAGGCCCCTGCTGGACAATGCAACAAGGAGAATGACTCTGACTGCTGCGTTGCTGGCAAAATGTACCCAACCTACACATGTTCACCGCCATTGTCCGGGAGCACCAAGGCCTACCTAACTCTCAACAGCTTTGAGAAAAATGGAGATGGCGGCGGTCCATCAGAATGTGACAACCAATACCACAATGACAACACACCAGTTGTGGCATTGTCCACTGGATGGTACAACAATGGAAGAAGGTGCCATAACCACATCAGAATTAATGGTAACGGGCGCAGTGTGGTGGCCATGGTGGTAGATGAGTGTGACTCTACCGAGGGATGTGATGCAGACCATGACTACCAACCTCCTTGTCCTAACAACATTGTTGATGCTTCAAAGGCTGTCTGGAAAGCCTTGGGTGTGCCTGAGGACAATTGGGGTGGCTTAGATATCACATGGTCTGATGTTTAGCTACCTTGGTGTCTGTCGGTCTAGCTTGTTGCTTTATGTGTATTGTATGTACTGTGTGGAATTTTCTCTGAAATATCTCATGTATATTATAGAAGTCAATATAGAGCATTGACTTCTTCTATCTTATATTGTGGTTAATGTGAAATATAAAACAATATCAAACCTCCTAATGTATCCATCTCTATGATTTGGAGATGAACTGCTTGAAGCATCTATATAATTTTTTTTCCTTTTCTTTTCTGTAGAGTGAGTATAGTATTACTTTGAAGATTCCTTTCTGCTATATGAATTAAAAAGACCATAATGTACAATCTGAAGCGAAGACAGTATGAAAAATCTCAGAAAGCTTCTCAGCACTGTTGTATTTACTGTTTATTTCCCAACTTGAATCCGTATTAGATTAACTTGGATGGTTCCAGTTGTAGCAAGAATCTTAAGAATCTGAAGATGTATTCCCAAATTCTTGGCCCCATCAGTACGAAAAATGAGAGCCTAATCAACCTAAACATGATTCCTAATGCTTGGAACCTCAGACTGTAATCCAAAAGCAATTCTCATTTTTGCACCTACTAACTTCATGGGGAGACACTACCTAACCAGCTTGTCCAAAACAACCACCAAGTCTGAACAAGTAGTTTGAATGCAAAGGTTTAAAGGCATCGCAATGGCTTCTTACAGCTCTAGTAGTAGAATACTTACCCTCACACACCTACGACAAGAACTCGACTGTCCATCCCCTCTCCAGGCTTAGGATACTTTGAACCAAAAGAAAGGAGATGACAATTTCACTACACTATATTTAGTTTGAATTTAGCATTCATGATATCAATTTAACATTGATGGTTTCAGTTTATCTTCATGGTAACTTTTGGTCTTACGAGCCATTCATGAATCTAAGATATAAAAAATCACACCAAAGGTGGCCTGAATTTCAGTATATACCTTTTATTGTATTAAACTTAACACGTCCCCATATCAACAAACGACTGGCATTAAAATGTTCAGAAGATTGTACCATATTAGCAGTCATGATGTCTAGTACCGTTCTAATATATACGTTGCTGTCACGGTCTGCTACTTGCAAAATATTTGGCTTATGTGAGTGATTGCTGTAGTTTTAGCCTAATTGGGGTTTAATAATAGGCCTGGCCGTAGATCATGGGAAATTATTGATTGACTTGACTTAAAATGGTTATTAACATGCCTTCCTGTGTCCACTCATGAACCATAATTTAGCTAAAAACACACAAAAGTTATTTTAAGAGCTCTTTATAAAATTTGAACTCCGATCATACTCCCTAGTTTAGGAAGTCATAAATACTATAGTTATTTTTTAATTCAATATGATTGGTCAATCTCTATTAAAAATAGAGTGCTGATATTTCCACCTCCTGTCCTATTTCTCCACCTACCTTATGTTCTAAAATAATTTTATCAAAAAAATTTAGCACTAATTAATAATAGAGAAAAAAAACCCTAAACTCTCTTTGAAGGTGAAACTGTGAGCTTGCACTGCAGCTGCCGCCCCCCTCTGGGGGTGGGTGGCTTCTCCATCTTCCATCTTCCTCTCCTCATCTCCCTTTCTCTTTTCCTAGTTTTCTTCCCCTCTCCTATTCTCTCCCCATATTTGTTTGGATTTTGGGTCCTCTTGCACAGATTTATCTGGATCATGTCTTTTGTTTGTTTGTTTGTGTGTTTTTTGTTGTAGGTCCTTGGTGACTTTTGTTGTTCTTGGATGTGTCTTGCTGTCACTGGATGGTTGCGGTGTGGTGTTGTCGACCCAGCTTTTCTCTTTGGTTTTCGTTGTGTTTTTTAAGCAAGTACTGCAATTCACCGTAGACGCCATGATTTTGTTGCAGCTTTGGGTCCACTCATATGGAATTTGCTCCAATTCAGTGTTTGGAGTTGGAAAAGTGATTATTGTTGGTTTGTGTAGGATCGGATTTTGCCTTTGCAAAATAATAGGTTTAGCCATGTTGGTGCTATGAGTCTCTGTGGTTTGCTGGAGAGGAAGTGGTGCAGTGTCCTTGTTTCTGTGTTTTTTTTAGTCTAATAATTCTCAGAAACTCAATAGAAGTTCGCTGATGTTTGTATTTAGTGTTTGACTTTCCGATGTAGATTTGCCGTTACTACCGTTGCGTGGTGGATCTGTATTGTAGGTCTAAGTACATGTGCTTTTTGTCTACCGAATTGGAGTTTTTAGGTTTTTCTGGCATGCGTAATTCTCTCTAGATCAAACCAATTTATTTTTGTGTTTGGTCACTGGAGATGTTGTACTCATACTTGGCATTGCGGCTACTCTGTACTTTTGTCTGTGTTATCAATAAAATTACTATCGCTTTTAATCAAAAAATAAAATAAAATATTTACCAAAATCACATTTTTCAAAAGTGACTTATCTTTTTGAAGTGGCATGTTGCTGGTATGCTAAAAACAAGAACATGTATTCATTTTTGGCACATCCTTTCAACTTGAGATCAGATTCTTTCATATTTAAATGATTTTATATCCTTGTAACGTGTTTGACAAATTCACATAGACAAAAGACCAAAACAGATGATACATCTGCTACTGCTAGAAATTAAGTTGACCACTAATTTCCATAATTTCCAAGATGCAAGTGGTTAGAAATTGACTTGAGACTTGAGTAATTGACTAAATTTTGAGAGTCTTAATCATATAATTGCATTTTTTTTCAATATATGAAGTTCATTGATTTTGGGATTAATGGACAAGAAGACTTGTGGAAATTCGGGCTTATGGACTAGGCTTAGGGTCTCTGGCATAACTTTTGTGAATAGAACTTTAATGGTCGGACGGGCCCTACATTAATGCATTCCCACTGTTGGTCTAATAAGTGTACTTTGAATTAATTTTTTTTTTTCATTCACACTGCATGAATGAGATCAATGTATATATTTATGGCTTTTGCTGGTTGATTAAAATAACAATATAGCTGGAAATTAATACATAATGGGAGAAGTCCAAATCAATTGTTCTTAAAAGTAATTAAAAATAGAGTACTGCTAAATGAACCCTTAAATTAACTTAGTACACCCTACTACCAAACTATTTATTGAATTATTAATTTACCCTAATATAAAATGACCAAAAAGGATATATTGAATTATGAACCATAAACCCTAAACCCCAAACACCGTTTTCATCTCCTCCACCGACATAACAACGCCTCCTTCATAATATCGTCTCCTCCACCGTCACACTAACACCGCCGTTGCATTCGCTTCTCCACCGTTACAACAATGCCGTCTTCGTACCATTATACTGGCGTTGTGGTCCTCTGATATTGGTAAATCTCATTTTGATTTTGTTATCAAATGGGTTATACTGTCTTGATTTGTTCTTCACTGCCCACAATGTTTTGTAACCTTCCTTTGGAAATTGGTTTTAATTTGTTCTTCAAAGGGAGCAATTTCTGGGTTGTTTAATATTGATGATTTGAAGAGATCCATGACTATGTGGGTATGCTATAGACTTGCTACAAACATCGGAAATGCCTTTATAGCTTTTCTGGTTTAGATCCAAATAATATGTTGAGGGCCCATGAAAATTCCTTCATATAACTTGTGAAATCAAATAATAAGTTCAATATGTGTGTCTATAAATTCAATACATTTATAAATATAAACATAGGGCACAAATTCATGTAAAAAGATAAATTTGGTTTAGGATTGGTATTAAGGTGTTGTGTGATAGAGTATATAGGTGTATTAGGGGTATTTTTGATAGTTAAATAGGGTGTACTTAGTTAATTTTATATTTTAATTAAAATATTAGGGTGAACTTAGATCATAGGGTGTACTCAGTTAATTTTAAGGTTTGTTTAGCAGCACTCTTAAAAATAATACAAAATCATATTTATTCCTACTAAGCACTTCAAATTAACTCATAATCTTCTGTAGATATTTGTGCAAGACACAGTAACAAATCATTATCATGATTAAAAATAAAATAAAAAAAGTTCAAGTTTGACAACAAAACTATGGGATGAAAGAAAAGAAAAGAGAAAATTAATTGGCTTTCAGTAGTAAATTATATGATTTAAAATACTCTACAAAAAAGAACATCCATGGCAAACAATTGTTTCAAGTTCTTACAAATCATTTACCACTACATAATTGATTACAAACAAAGACACAGTAACAAATCTTTATTAAGGAAATTCCCACTACATAATCCAAAACTTGAAACTTCTGCAGATATATAATTGCGTCCATGGCAACTATATGCGCTCTCCAAGGCAACTGAAGCTGCAAGTAAACAAGAAGAATTCATAACTTGCCTCCGTAAGTTTTGAAAGGATAGTTAATAACTTAATTATGATGTAAGAACAGAAGAATTTATGTACTTACAGCTTATCTATTAAGAATCTCCTTGAGTTGCCGCTTGATCAAAGCTACTCGCACATAAAGCCAATCATTTAAACCATTCAGGAACTTGAAGTATGCGTATCTCCATGAGCTCTTGAACATCAAAGTGCCGCAAACTCCCCAAAATCCAGTAGCAAACCCAAGCCCCATACTGATTTAAAATCCTAGTGTTATAAGCTCATCCTTATCATCCTCTCGATTGCTCAAGTCTGTATGCACATTTTGATCAGCACAAATCTTTTTAAGTGGAGGTCCACAGAGTTGAGGATTTCCAGCATAAACAGAGGTATCAAAGCTTTGGAGCTGAGTCCCGATGGGAATTTTGCCAGATAAATTGTTAAATGACAAGCCCGAGAGACTAAGACGATGGATCTGCGAAAGGCTTGTTGGAATTCTTCCTTCTATCTGGTTTCTTGACAAATCAAGGGCATCCAGTGACTGCAAGTTTCCAATCTCTGGAGTGATTTGACCTGTTAATTGGTTTCCCGACAGGTTTAAAGAAACCAACCCAACAAAATGAGTGATTTCACTTGGAATCTCCCCTGTTAATTTATTGCTTGACAGATCAATTCTCTTCACAAGCCCCAAAGTACTTTTGTATGTCTGTATTCTTCCTTTCCACATGAAGGTTGCATCATCCTCATAAATCATATCACTAATGCTATACTTATCAGTACTTATACTATAAGTATGTGTGCTGGTTAGATTTGAATTTCCTTTCTGAGCCAAATTAGTTAAATTGTTGAAGCATTTGGGTATGCTTCCAGAGATGATGTTCATGGAGAAATCCAAACTTTGAATGTGTGTTAGATGGCATATTTGTGAGGGCAAGCTTCCATTGAAGTAATTAGACGAAAGCATCAGGATAACCAAATTCTTTAAGCTAACCCCTAACCATTCAGGTATCGGTCCGGATAATTTATTATCCCCAACATCAACGACGTCTAAACTTGTGCAATTCTTCAACGACGAAGGCAATTGTCCCACAAATTTATTGCTTCTTAATTTGAGTGTTTTAATCCGAAATATGGAGCCTATTGTTGTAGGAATTTTCCCGGACAAAGCATTGTAACTCAAATCAAGCATGACTAGATTTTCCCAATGTGTCAAGCAATTTGGAACTTGTCGAGAAACATTGTTGTTTGAGAGGTCAAGAAAGCTTAAAGGAATAGTTTCACTTGAACACAAGAACGAAATTGACCCTGAAAGTTTATTATAAGAGAGATCCAGATATGAGGCTTTTGATAGAACTGAGGGAATTGGACCTTCCAACGTATTCGAACTTAGATGTAGTTTAGGGAAATATGAAAATTCCAATGTCAAATTTGCAAATGTACCTCCAATTTGGTTGCTTGTGAGATTCATAAATGTCACATTACGACATAAACTCCAAAACCAACTTGGAAAGATGTTGGAAATTCCAGCATTAGAAATATCAAGGTGTGAGAATTTTTTTTGAGTTTGAAGCCACTTTGGGAAATCCGGACCCATCTTGCAAGACCCCAAAATTATGTAGTCCAATTGGAAAGGAGGAATCCAGTTAGCATGGATATCTAAAACTAGCGAGTTAGAAGATAAATCCAAATACCATAATTTGGAGAGTTTTGAGAAATGAGTTCCTGAAATTACTCCGCTTAATTGATTGTTATGAAGAGCTAAATATTCCAAAGATGAAAGGTTTGTAAGATCAGGTAATGACCTTGCAAGATCATTCCAAGAGAAAGACAAACCCTTCAATGAGTTTTGAGCGCATGTAGAGAATAATATTTGAAAAAACTTAGAAAGTTGTCCACTCAGAATATTGGTTGAGAGATCCAATGATTGCAAACTACATAACCTAGCAAAAGAATGTGGGTCCCCTCCTTCAAGTCGGTTATTAGAGAGAGAAAGATATGCCAGAGAGCTCATGTTTCCAAAAACATCAGGAATTGAACCGGCTAGAAGGTTCCAAGAGAGGTCAAGATCAACAAGGATGGTATTATAGTTGGACAACCATAGAAATATTGAAGAAGTACTCAAATGGTTGAAAGAAAGGTCAACGCTTGCAAGAGATTTAGAAGAATTTATGTAAGAAAGAGTGGAAAGAATTGGAGAAGGAAGATCACATCCCCATAGTGTCAAGTTTGTTAGTTCAGGAAGCTTACTAACAGCTTCCGGCCAATCGAAAACATTGCTAAGATTCGCGGAACTCGTGTCCAAATATCTTAATGACGAAAGAAGAGGAAGCTAGTCGAGATTTTCTACATTTGTAAAGTAATTATATTGTAAGTCCAGATACACCAATTTCGTAAGATTTTTTACCTGACTGGGAAACTTGCCTCCAAAATGACTCGAAGAAAGATCAAGGTATCTTAAATTGGTTAGAGAACCAATGAAATCTGGAAATGGGCTCCCGTTGAAATCAATATATCCAAGGTCCAAATGTTCTAAATGCTGCAACTCAATCAGTTTAGGACTAATCATCTTACCTTGAAAAAAAAAAATCTTCGCCCATAACTTTGTCTGAAGGATAAAGTCTGGTTGCTACAAGAGACTCCTATCCATCTACAACAATCTTGTTTCTGGGCTTCTGAACCCCATGAAGAGAGCAAATCGAACTTATCCACCAGGCCACGTTTGAATGCAAGGAGTGCTTGCCTTTCCTTCTCTATGCACCTCCCGGTCACGTTAGCATCCCTGTGGTTGCGACCAACTTCTCCTCCTTTGATGCACTGTAGCAAAAGCAGCGCAAATGCAATAAAGAGTTTCTGTCTGCCGCGCAAATCTCACGGCCTGGAGTTCCGGGCCGAGGGGATATGCGTTAACACGCGGTTTCCTGCTTTTGGGTGCGGTGCGGTTGTGCGCGGGTGTGCCAGCGCGGTCTACCGTGCGTCGATGTGTTGATGAGTGTTGGATGGATAAGTGGTGCGCCTGTTTGAACTCGTCTTCCTAATCAAACGATTGTAGCCGAGAGAGGAACTGGTCTCGGCTGTTAGGTTCACGGCCTGAACTACAAGGCCGTTGAGTGATGGTGTTGGTGGTGGGTTTTGGGCGGTGCTCCGGCGCGCTGCTCAGGGAGCGACGGTCGTGTGATATATGGGATGAGTGAACGAACAACAAGGATGGTGCTCCGGCGCCTTGAAAATCAAGGGTGGTATGATATATTGATGAATGGATTTTCCTTACAACCTAACACTACTCCTAGGAAAGCAAGTAAAGATATTGAAAGTGCATTACAGGAAAAAATAAGTTGCTCCGTGGGAGGCTTTGTTTTGGTGTT